TCCCCCACACACACAATCTCTTCCCCCCGCAGTTCGGATGGCCAACCTGATGAGAGTGCTGGGCACGGAGGCTGTACAAGACCCCACCAAAGTGGAGGCCCACGTCCGGGCACAGATGGCCAAGCGACAGAGGTGGGAGCTAGACACTGAGATGTTGTTGTTTGTAGTTTTCAAATCCCTTTAGCTGCGAGCATTTCATTCTTGGCAGCGCAATGCCTCCCTCAAGTAACCACATGTCCTTGTCATCTGGTCAACGCCAGAGTAGAGCAGGCTTTGTAAGTCTGTAGGTGTGTGTAGCAGCCTGCGTCGAAGAACTGCCAGGTTTGGGCGGTGAATGAGAAGATGTTCAACGGTCTCCTCGTGGTAGTCACAGTGTCTGTAATGGGGTTCCCGCATGGGGTTAATTCTATTTATGTGTTTGTTGGACACTGAGATAACATAATGATAGATAACATTATCATAGATGGCGTTTGTATAGAGTAAATTCCATCTCAGCAGCAGGCTCCTTGTTCTTTAACTCACCCAGCAGCGCTAACGCCGATAATATCGGCATGAGGGCGCGTGCCATGCTCCAACCCTGATGCCGACAGTATCAGGGGGATGGAAAATTTCGCTCTCGTGACCAAAAGCACTACTTTTGTGTGAAGCAGACTATAGCCTAATCGGGAGAGTGACCATTTTTCATTTGACCAGAAGTGCAAGCCCAAGTTTAGAAGAGAAAAAAAGCTGTATTCGTGAACCTTGTGGGGGGGGGGGGGATTTGAATGCACTTCCTTTCTTCGCTTCTGGTTTACTTTCTGACTCTGTATATAGATCTAGACCTTTTCCACGGGGTATTGCATAAAAAGTATGCCTTATTTTGCCTTCAAATTTTCCATACTCACAAATAAAAGTGTGAATAAAATGTGTACCAAATTTGGGTAGGGTATGTTGAAATTTAGTGGGGTTGGGGGTTCAGTTTTTTAAAAAGTGGTACAAATCTGTAGGGAGAGCTGACAACCGAGAAGTGTGGGCCTGGGGATGAGGGAGTTTACCTTTTGAACCGATGTAGGCTTAATGTCTTGTTGTCCGGCACCACCGGTGCACCGGAGTGAGCCCTACCACTAGTGCTGGGCGGTACCGGCGAAACCCAGTGCCAATCCGGGGTGTGTCGAGAATTGCCGGTACCGGTACTGGGAGTGACACCAGGAGGTGAGGTCAGAGACTGTGTGTCTCAGGCCACGATCAGGGCCGTCGGCATCCCACACACGCGCGCGGGCACGCACACACACACACACACATACACACCACACACACATACGCACACGCACACACACACAGGCACACGCACGCAGACAGACGCACACACGCACGCGCACACACACACACACACACACACACACACACAACCACACTCGAAGTCAGAATTGAGAGAGGCAAGCTGTGACACAAAATCACTTTGAAGTTTGCCGCCAAGCGAGATTAAACTTTGCATGCTGAATTTTTAAAATAATTATGGCCTCTAAAAATGTATTTCATTTTCCGGATCAGCGTATCAAAATGAGCAAAGTGGCTTGAGTAGAACCTGATGCAGTATTTAAACATAGGCAAACTTCGTTCTTGATTGTCAATTTTGAATCTGAAGTCATGTATCAAGGTCACCCGCTGCGTTGTGCATCTGACATCACAGTGGGGCCTGGGCCTAGGCCTAGGCCTACACACTGCACACTACCCCGGGCCGGTAGAAAACCTTTGGTGTCGGCTCCTTCCCGGAGCCGCTACTAGAGGACAGGTGCCGGTACTGACACCTTTGGTAGAACTGGGAGTTCTGGTACTGGATACTGGTACCTGCCCATCCCTACCTACCACGAGACACACAGTCCGATGTGGGTGGTTGGCGGGTGCTCTGGCGTGGTTTGCTTCTTCTTTCCTATCCAACATCTATCGTCTTTATCTCCCCTCCTTCTTTTTTGTGTTTGTTACTGTCTTGTAACACCTGTCTAATCTTCTGGCACTCATTTGACCTTATGCAGTTGCGAGCGCCGTGAAACCTCTACTAAAACTAAAACTAAACACAGTCCGATCCTTCCTTGTTCTCTATTTTGTTAACGTTCTTTGAGCGACCTTGGTTACTGCTTGGGGTCGTGTTAACTGAGACGGCTGCCTCCATGCTTCGAATTTTGTGTTTTTGAGCAGAACTTCACCTCGGTCCCGTACCTATTGCAACATTGGATGTCCCTGATTGTGCTTTTGTGAGCGGTTGGCGGGTGCTCTGGTGAGGTCTGCTCCTTCTTTCCTATCAAACATGTATATTATCGTCCTTATCTCCCGTCCTTTTTGGGGTTAGTTACTCTCTTGTGACACCTCTAATCTTCGGCACTTACATGATCTTGTTGTGTTGCAAGTGCTGTGAAACTCTCACACAAAAAAAGACAGAGTTTTGAAAAAGTCTGCGAGCCAGTTACAGCGAACGTCATTTTGTTCTCAACGACCTTGACCCCTTGTGTTGTTTGTTGTGCTTCCTCAGAGCCCACGAGGAGGCTAACGCCGCTCGCAAGCTGACGGTGGAACAACGCCGGGACAAGAAGATTGGCAAACTGAAGGAGAGTGTGGAGGATGGGGTACATGTGTCTGTGTACAGGTGAGGAGGAGGGAGAGGGAGGGGCTGAGGAAAGGGGGAGGGAGAGGTACATGTATCTGTGTACAGGTGGAAAGAGGGAGGGAGGGAGGGGATGAGGAATGGAGGAAGGAGAGATACATGTATCTGTGTACAGTGAGGAGAGGGAGGGAGGGAGGGGATGAGGAAAGGGGGAGGGAGAGGTACATGTATTTGTGTACAGGTGAGGAGAGGGAGGGAGGGAGGGGATGAGGAATGGAGAAGAGTGGAATGGGGGAGGGAGGGAGAGAAAGCAGGGAGCTGATGGTGGAACAATGCACTGACGAGAAGTTTGGCAAACTGAAGGAGAGCACGGAGGATGGGGTACATGTCTGTACAGGTGAGGAGGAGAGGGAGGGAGGGGAAGTAGTTCTCAAAGGAGGGGGTACATGTGTCTGTGTACAGGTGAGGAGGAGGGAGAGGGAGGGGGAGTAGTTCACAAAGGAGAGGGTACATATGTCTGTGTACAGGTGAGGAGAGGGAGGGGGAGTAGTTCACAAAGCAGAGGGTACATATGTCTGTGTACAGGTGAGGAGGAGGGAGGGACGGGGAGTAGTTCACAAAGGAAGGGGTACATGTGTCTGTGTACAGGTGAGGAGGAGAGGGAGGGAGGAGGAGTAGTTCACAAAGGAAGGGGTACATGTGTCTGTGTACAGGTGAGGAGGAGGAGGAGGGAGGGGGAGTAGTTCACAAAGGAGGGGGTACATGTGTCTGTGTACAGGTGAGGAGGAGGAGGAGGGAGGGGGAGTAGTTCACAAAGGAGGGGGTACATGTGTCTGTGTACAGGTGAGGACAGGAAAGGACAGTTCCAATCATCATTCTGATCAACCGTTGAGTTACAATCATCATTCTGATCAACCATTGAGTTACAATCATCGTTCTGATCAACCATTGAGTATTGAGTTACAATCATCTTTCTGATCAACCATTGAGTATTGAGTTACAATCATCTTTCTGATCAACCATTGAGTATTGAGTTACAATCATCATTCTGATCAACCATTGAGTTACAATCATCATTCTGGTCAACCATTGAGTTATAATCATCGTTCTTATCAACCATTGAGTTACAGTCATCATTTTGATCAACCTTTGAGTTACAATCAGAAT